CGAACCCTCGGCGGGAGTGCCACCGCGCTCCTAAGCGGCGCACTGTAGCAGTGCGCCACCGGGCCGGCCCCAAGAGTTCAGTCTTTTAAACTTGTTTGGTGTCTGTGATAATGTACATCTTGGAACTTCATTTTTGCCTATCTGGTGTTATCTTTTGTGGCTGTAGCGTATGAGGATATAGCTTGAGAGATACGGAATTGGGCCTCCTGTTTCTGGTCCTAGTCTTGCAGCAAAGATAATGTAATTGAGTTTGAGTAATTTATTATGCCTCGTTTTTCTTCGCATGCAAACCTCAAGCCTTGAATGAACTCACGTTTCTGTTTTCATTTGACTAAAGGTAACATCAAGCACAATCATAAATAGGCTCCATAGCATAGCACTGTTAGGTGAGTTGCCTTCAGTGTCTGTATTTGAACGACCTTGGTCAAGTTACTACTTTTTTTGAACCTCAGTTTCCTCATCTGTAAAATGGGGATGATAATACTTACAGAATAGGTGTATTGTGAGAATTAAATGAGAGAACACATGTTAAAGTGTGGAGCACAATGCCTTGCACTTAGTAAATGCTTGAGAAATGGTAGCTATTATTATTAAGCAGTTATGCATTTAAGAAAAACAAATTTCCCACTCTCATGAAGCTAGTTTAAAAATGTTATTTTAAAGCATATTTGTATTTGAAATGTTTCTTTATATTCAGAAGGCAATTAGTCATTTTCTATAACTGTTGTGTTTCCTCTACAGGATTTTTTTGCAGACCTTAGCTTTGGGATTCCCTTTTTAAACTGTTTTTAGTATTTTTTGGAATATGTACTTTCTCACTTGAACTTTTAGTACTTTAGATAATTTGGGTGTGTGTTCATATATAACGTATTTTTTTCTGTTTTTACCTACAAGTTATTCAAAGAGGAGAAATTGTTCCCTCCTGGGTGACTGTCAAATCATTAAAAAAAAAAAATCAGAGGTCTTGTCTCTTTGCTATCAACTCTGTGTACAGAATGCAGTAGAGTGGCACCATCGCTGGATGGGGAAAGTCCTGGAGAAGGGCATGGCCGTTCATGAGATTAACTCTTTTTATTTGTTTTTTAGCATTTCCCCTTCAGCATCTTTCCATGAAACAGTCACCAACATGACACAGGGATTGCACCGCATTGTGGGCTTCTGGCATTTGACTTCTCAGGCCAGCCAGGGTTTTGGGTTCATGCTGTTGGTACTTAAAAGAGTAACTTTGCAAACTGCAGAACATATACAGGAGACCCTTAAAGTTTCAAGAGGGATGAAGGACTAATTAAATTTTCCCCTTTAGTGGAAGCTGTGCACTGAGGGAATCCTGAAATTAAAACCTACAAGAAAAATCAGCTATGAAGGCAAGTTGCCTCTGTCCCCTTAGGCACCAAATTTAAATGACCCAGATGTAATCAAATTAATCTTTCACTTGTGAGTTATTTGTAAATGAAATAAAGTGATATTCAGTGATAAAGAATATCAGAAAAGGGCCGGCCTGTGGCTCACTCGGTAGAGTCCGGTGCTGATAACACCAAGGCCACGGGTTCGGATCCCATATAGGGATGGCCGGTTTGCTCACTGGCTGAGCGTGGTGCCGACAACACCAAGTCGAGGGTTAAGATCCCCTTACCGGTCATCTTTTTAAAAAAAAAAAAAATATCAGAAAAATAAAAGCTCCAACTGATTTTTGCTAAGTTCCAAAATAGTGAATCTCAAAACTTTGGGGTGCATCAGAATCACTCTATTTTAACCTTATTAAAAATACATGTGCTTGGAACCCCCTCATGCTATTTAGTCACAATCCCTGGGATAGGACTTGGGCATCTGTACTTTATCAAGCTTCGTAGGTGGTTCTTCATATCATATGCACACCAAAGTTGAAGAATCACTGTGAGATGATGGGTAATAGTTTTTGACAGAGTATTAATTTAACAATGGTGGGATTAATGTAACCTAATTTTAAGAATGGAGATGTACACTTGGCTCACCTTTATACTTAAAAAGGAAGAAAGAGTCTTGCCATCCTCAGCATGTGTTAAGGACAAAATGAGCTGTTTGGATGCCTCCTGAGAGTTGAATTCAGAAACATTTTAGTTCTTTGCTTTATGAGGATCTTATTTCCTTCTTTTTTTTTTTTAAAGATGACTGATAAGGGGATCTTAACCCTTGACTTGGTGTTGTCAGCACCATTATGAGGATCTTATTTCCTTCTTTTTTTTTTTTAAAGATGACTGATAAGGGGATCTTAACCCTTGACTTGGTGTTGTCAGCACCATGCTCTCTGAAGTGAGTTAACCAGCCATCCCTATATAGATAGGGATCCGAACCTGTGGCCTTGGTGTTAGCAGCACCACACTCTGCCAAGTGAGCCACGGGCCGGCCCCTGATTTTCTTCTGAAAGTGGAGGCTGCATCTGAATAGTACAGTCTTAGGAAAGTAGAAGGCAACATTTAGAACCTGGGTGACATTCCCAAATTTGCTCAAGTTTTTGTCTGAAAGGGGTTATGTTTTGAGTCCACAAATACATTATGGTACCAAAGCAAACTTTTTTTTATGCTCTGTACTTGACCCCATCTTTCAAAGCATAATTTTTTCATGGAATGCTGTGCAATGCTAGTTAATGGATGCATATGGATCAAAAATCTTTTTCTGTTTATAAAAATAACAAAAAAGAAAAGGTAATGAAGGGATAAATTACCAAGAAAATGACCAGGCCTTTTAAACCATGACCATAAAAAGTGTTCAAAGTCCAAGTGACACATTGCAGTTAACATCAGGTTTCATGAATTGAGAGCTCACACTTTTCATTTGTAGGTGTTTACAGTACAGCTGACACTTGGGGAGTTCAGCATTGGGAAGCTGAAGGAAATGGTATTAAAAAAGCCCAACACACAACTGCTCCCAAAGCTTTGGAAGGAACAAAATTTCCTAAACCCATAGTCCCACCCTTTTTTTAGTGAAGGATGGAATCCAGATATTATGTGTGGGCCAAGTTAGGTTCCTTTCAAAATGTGTCTAGAGGTACCCATATAATATGTATGTGGATGATTTCTTAACTAACGTGTTGATTTTGATAGCACAGATTCTACACTACTACAGACAGATGCTTATCTTTTAGGAATCCTTAAGTTCACTCTAAAGCAGTGGTTCCCAAACTGTAGTCCCTTAACTCCTGACAGTCTGTAAAGGTGGCCTGGGGAAAGGGGTGGGGGAGGTTGTCACCAAACAATTTCTAAGATTTCAGAAAAGCTTAATGAAAGTACATTTTTTTCCCTTGGTAAGTTTGTACAGTTTATCGGAAATGTAGGTTTTAGCTGGAATCATGTCAAGTTAGTGTGTTAATATTGATTATAATTAGTTCATCAGAAGTGCTAGTTGTCAGTTACACATCTCCCGATCATTTAAAAGAATGAGAAAATAATTTAAATATTTATCACTTAAATAGAAACCAGTAGGTAATCTCTCTTCAAACAAGGGGCCCAAGCAGGGAGGATAGTGATTAAGAAGTGTGTCTGGTGAAGGATTGGGAACCACTGACCTGAAGGCTGTGGCAGGAGTAGCTGTTTTAGCAGAGTCCCCCTCATCTGCATGAAATCATCCCAGGCCTTGGCATGCAGGAGTGAATCTGAGAAGATCTTGGTCACACCTTTCTTGTTGCTTTTGATTTCTTTGTGGTATTCTTTCTTTGAGTTCATTCTCTACTGCAGATAAATTCTGTGGTTCAGAGCTGCTCTTAAAATGATGCAGGCTGTACTTAAAATGTGACTGTATGAATTATGTAAAAAATCATCCGAGTGTGAAGAGGAGAGAGATTGGTAACTCATGTGACCCTCTAATTGTGCAAACCCCAAAGATATTCTTACAAATTTGGTTCATGCAATAAATTTAGTGGAACCGATTATAGTACAGAATCAAGTCATTTTTCTTTTTCTTTTTTTTTGGTGGCTGTCCAGTACTGGGATCTGAACCTGTGACCTTGGTGTTATAACCAGCTGAGCTAACTGGCCAGACCCAGTTTTGTTTTTTTCTACACACATCCTAAAAATGCATTTTAAAGTGGATTTTTGTGTGCATTTAAATTGAATTTTGCGATTGCTAGTTTTGTTCTGTGTTTTATATGATAGTTTTGTTTTTAAATGTGATTGTGTACTGACACTAAGCTTTTAAGGCTGGTTTTCTTTTTAAATAGTCGTGGAGATGTATGAATTGGGTGAACTGAGGGGGGAAAAATTGGAAAATGAATAGTGTGTATTCTTTTTCTTTTTTCCTTTTGGTCTTTTTTTACTGACTGGTAACGGGTCGGTGTCACGCCCATACCGGGGACCGGCAACGGGATCGCAACCCTCGGTGTTGCGCCCGCACTGCGCTCAGCCAGTGAGCGGGAACCGGTCTCCACATGGGATCCGAACCCTCGGCGGGAGTGCTGCCACGCTCCCAAGCGGCGCACTCTCCAGTGCGCCACCGGGCCGGCTCAATAGTGTGTATTTTTTAAAGTTGATAATTCTGAGATTTCCCAGGATATACTTGCTCCTGTTGTATATGAAAATGGAACTCATTTTTCTAACAAGTAATACCACAGGTCAAATCCCATTATAAATGTAAAGAATGGAAATACCTGAGTATTTTGTGGGCTTCATATGACTTCTCCAAATAGAATCAACGTGCCTCTTCCTCAGTGATTTTACGTCTTTCCTTATGGCACACATAACATTGTACTGTAGTCTTTGAGTGTGTTTTGTATACTTTCAAGTCCTCTGGGACAAGCATTGTGTCCCTCAGGCTTAGCACAGTGCCTTACATCAAGTTAGTACTTAATAAGTGCATTGTCCAATAAATGGTGTGTACAAGCATGCTTCTAAGTGTAAGCCAGTGACCTGGTAAATCAGTATGACCAAAGTTACATTGGTTGAGTATTCCTAAACAAGGGCTGGATGGTTAGCTCAGTTGGTTGGAGTGTAGTTTTGTAACACCAAGATCAAAGGTTCAGATCCCCTTACCAGCCAACTGCCAAAAAGAAAAAAAGTATTTACAAACAATAAAATAATTTGGATAGTCACATAGGATTTTTTAATTGTGGATTTTGATGTTTATTGGAACTTATTTCTGGCAGCTGTACTATATGGCTTTCACTGGTTACATCTTGGGTTAAATTGTTGTTCCTTCTAATAGCCCTTACAGTATATTTTGTGCTGTTGACTGTGTAGTAATATCAGAAAACCACAGCCGATTCTTGGATTTCCTGACCTGACTCCTAGCAGCGAAATACTCAGGCCTTTTAATGTAATATATCATGAATCCAATTGGTAGAAAGCATGCTTTTCTTTTTGATTTTAGTTATCATTTTTACGTCAGGAAAAAACAGTTCTTTGTGTTGATTCTGTGTTGCAGAAAGCATAACCCCTACGGTAGAGCTAAATGCACTGTGCATGAAACTTGGAAAAAAACCAATGTATAAGCCTGTTGACCCTTACTCTCGGATGCAGTCCACCTATAACTACAACATGAGAGGAGGTGCTTATCCCCCAAGGTATGTGTGTGTTTGGGTTTTTTTTTTTTTTTTAAAGTACAGTGTCAGTCTTAAGAGTGCTTCTGCCTTTGGAACTGTGTCTTGGTGCTGTTTTAACTGCTGTCATTAGAAAGTGCCTAAGCATATTCCTGACTAGCAATGTGACTTGTGCCCCAAGCAGTCTGGTTAAAGGTCACTCTTGTAATTGTTTTGTGTAACTGAATCATATTTGGACATGATTCCCACTACATCATGATTCTCAGCATTTGTGGATTTCTTGATTATTGTTTATTGGGTACTTTCTGACTTTTGAATTTGTGTGCTTTGTAAATAGCCTTGGTGTAACAAAATATTAATTGAAACCCAAAAATGCCATGTGTGTAAAACCTCTTACCGGTGGTAATAAGGCATAAGTGGATAGACTAATGATCAAAATGGAGGTCTTCATTTCCCTGCCCTCCTTGGGTAGGGAGCCAAAGCCATTTTGAAAATAAAAGCTCTGAAATGTTAGAAACTAGGCTCTGCTAGGCTGTAGGCTGTTGGTATTCCCAGAACTGAGTGTCCTTCCTAAAAGACTTCTGCTTTAAAATTCCCAGCCTTCTGTGTTGACGTGCAAGTGCAAATCTAAGGTTTGAGAAAGTAGAGCAAGTTAAATTTCTGTCTAAGCAAAAGCTTAATTCATTTTAGATTTTGTCAGTACAGACTAGTATTAAAAATTGAGCTCATGTAATTTATAAGCCATTGTGTTTTGTTGAACTTAAGTTTTAATTGCTAAACTGTATTTGCTTTTATGGTATAACAATTCTAATCCAGTTTAAACTTTTAGGCAATCTCTGGATATATCGATGAGTCATCATTAGCCAAGCACACACTAATGTGATTAGGACCTATGATGAAGAAAATACTTGGAATTTGCCAGAGAATGTATAGGTGACTTCTCAATCTGAGACTGTAATTTTTCTAACCCTCTTTTATTTTTAGGTACTTTTACCCATTTCCGGTTCCACCTGTGCTTTATCAAGTTGAACTTTCTGTGGGAGGACAGCAATTTAATGGGAAAGGAAAGACGAGACAGGCTGCGAAACATGATGCTGCTGCTAAAGCCTTGAGGATCCTGCAGAATGAGTCTCTGCCTGACAGGCTGGAGGTAAGGCGAGAACAGAGTTGAGGCTGCTGGAGATTTGGGCAGAGTCAGAGGGTGGTATGAAAGATGTCACCTCAAGTTACTTTTTCTAAGAAGGTGCATTAACAACTGTCCACAATGTTTATTATTTAAAAGCCTACAAGATTTTGTACCCTGTAGCTTTCTTGCTGTTTTCCCCCCTTTTTTCCTTTCTAAATTTCTGAGCAAGAAAGTCAGCTGCCACCTTTTTCACCCTGTGGTATAGTTTTGAGTGACATAATATGGTATAAACATGTTAGAAAGGTTGTGGCTCAGTGGAGTTGTGAAGAACACATATGGATGAGTTTTTCAGTGCTGAAGATGATGCTTGTCAGAATCTACTGTGATTTAGCATACCAGGTTAGAGAATTTTCTATATCTGTTTTTGACCAGCACTTCTGTTATAAAATGCCTGTTATCTACTGAAATGTAACCAACCATCACAAAACTTAATGATGGTTTAAACATCTCCAGGCATTTATTTTGCTCACAGATCTGCAATTTAGGCAGGACTTGGCAGGGGTAGCTTATCTTTGCTCCACATAGCTTTGACTGAGGTGGCTCTACAGGAGGCTGGAGGATCCACTTTTAAGATGGCTCACTCACATGGCTGGTAAGTTGCTGCTGGCTGTCAGCGGGAACTATGCTGGGGCTCTGGCCTGGGGACCTCAGTTCCTCTCTTAGTGTACTTATGCAAGGACTTGCTTATGCTTCCTTGTGGTATGGTGGCTGGGTTCCAAGAGTGAGTGTCTCAGAAGTTGGGAAATGGAAGCAGCTGCCAGTTTCCTAAGGCCTGATTCCAGAAATCACAGCATCGCTTCTGCCATATTCTATAGGTCAAGCAGGCTCAGAGCCCAGATTCAAAGGAAGGAGGTATAGAACTCCACTTTTAATTTTTTCTTTAATTGAGGTAAAAAAAAAAACTAAATTCACCATTTTAAGTGTGCAATTCAGTGGCTTTTAGTACATTCACAGTGTGGGGAATGTGGAGAAAGAACCCCACTTCTGGATAAGAGGAGTGTCAAAGACTTTGAGGCCATGTTTTAAAATTACCTACCATAAATTAAAAATTCCTACCATAATTTAAAATTATGGTAGGAAAAGGATTTTAACTTTTCGTGACTACATCGGAATATAATTTTTAGGAAATCAGTGACTTCGTGCCATTGAGGGGCCAAAGCATTAGTGAATAACTCTGATAAGGTAGTCTTACCACAAATCTAGTCACTAAAGGTCCAGAAGAAACTCATTGAACAGAAAACATTGAGATTTCATGATTCTGTTTAATCATAGTGGGAAATGTCACCTGAAAACACCCCTGGGTAGCATTTGACTTTTCCTCTCCAGGAAACAAGTTCACAGAGAACAAGGTTTTGCACAGAACATTGTGCTAAATGTGTGATGAGAGGTTCGGATCTGAGTGGACCTTGGGCAGGGTGCTTGCTGAGGTCTGTTGTATTTAGCCTGCCACCCAGGGCACCCAAGCTCAGGATGGCACTCTGTGTCTTCATGGCTGGCTGCATGGGAGCATTTTGCTTTCCTTTTGTTATGCTGCATTTCCAGTGTAATCACATATTCTGACAGAGGCTATCTGTTTTCAGGATTCACTAAGGATCAAATAAAAGAGTTGTAACTTAAAAGAGGATTTAGTGAAGTTAAAAAGATAAGCTTCTCAGTGGTGAGATTTATCAAACCATTGAAATCTGAGCTGTTTTGGAGGCCTTTCATTTCTTTAGTTGACTTTGGTGCTAATCTGATTGGAGTCAGATGGAGTAGATATTTCTCAGTTCCTTCTAGCCAACAGTTGGTAAATGATTGCTGAACACTGGTGTGTGGATTGTCTGCATCAGAATCACTAGAAAAGTTAAAAAAAAAAATTCCTACACCTAACCCGCATGATTCTAATGCGATAGGTCTAGGGTAAAACCCAGGAATCTGGTTTATGCTTTTTTATTTTGTTGATGTGCTCTTGGAGCGATTATAAAGCATGGTCAGGGTTTGGGAACCACAGATCCTGAGTATTATCAGTGCTTCCCAGGCAGTTTTTCTCTCCCTTTGAATCCTCCATGGAAGTATTCAGAGTTTTGTTGCAAAGGGAAAGTGTTTGGTGGTGTCTGTAGCACCCTTGCTCACTAGGGAAGCATTGGTTGTAGCAGTTCTGAGGACAGTGGCTATAAAAGACTTGCTCTCCTGGGCAGAGTTTTCATCAGTGCACCTGAACTCTGTAAGGAGCTTTGCTCAGAGTAATGTTTACATCTACTTGTGCCCTGTGGCTTTTCTCCTCTTCCCCCCTTTACTAGCTCTGTAGTTTGAAATAGAGACAATGCCTTTCAGAAATGTTTCAAAAACTGGCCTTAGCCAGTGTTTCAGAAATGGAGAATCATTAACTGTAGGGTAAGGCTACTTCTTTGAAGTAGTAAATGAAATACTTGGCCTCCTGCTTAAGTGTGCTGTCCCTTGATTTTACCAGGCCTTCTGGTGGGTGGGTGGTAGAGAGTAAAGACAGACATTTTTAAAAGGTAACTTTTTCCCCTCAAAAATAATGCATGTGAAACTATAAGCTCTTTTTAATTCAAGAAAAAAAAAGGAAAAATAAATGACTTATAAATTTACCACTTGTAGATAATCACTATAAATATTTTGGTGGATGTCAGTGCATATATAAGTAAATACACACTCCTTTCATTCAAAAAAATGGGATGGTATTGTATAGTCACCATCTTTTTTCATTGAAGTGTGTCTCAGGAATATGTTATTATGTCATTTACTTACAGGATTCAAATTTAGCATGCACCTAAGCACTTTTTAATGACTGCTAAGTGTTCCATTGTGTAAACATACCTGTTTATTTTTGCAGTAGGGGCTTGATTACTTAGGTTGTTTGCAGTTTTTGCTGTTGTAAAATTGGGAGGGAAGAACATTGTTGTAATGAAATCTTTGTGTGTGTGTGTCCATCATTATTTCTGTGAGCCACAGCTCTATAAGTGCAATTGCTCAATTAAAGGGTATCCATGGTGCTTGAATGGTTAGCTCAGTTGGTTAGAATGTGGTGCCGATAACACCATGGTCCAAGGTTTGATCACTGTACTGGCCAGCTGCCAAATAAAAATAAACAAAAAAACCCACACAACAAAGATAAAGGATATGCATGGTGATATATATGGCCAAGTTCCCCACCAGAAAGATGGAACTATTTTTTTTTTTTTTTGAAAGATGGAACTATTTTAGACCCTTCCCAGTACGCATAAGTAGCCTGTTTGCCCACTGCCTGTCAGCATTGGAAATGATCGTTTTAAACAAATCATCAGTGTTGCTGTTGAAAATTTGTAGAGCATGTGATTGTGTGATGGATCAATTAATCTTTTCTCGAAGATAGCCAGTAAAGCCACCACTTTGTTTGCAGGGCAGGTGTAGTCTGGTTCCTCCATGATTGGCATTGTGATAGGCCCTGAAGTGAAAACAGCCAGCATTGTCCCTGCCCCTTTGGAGCTTAGTCAATGGACCTGATAGACATGAACATTACTGTCATTAAAAAGTGCAGTGAGTACTAGGATAGAAAAGTAGCAAGGATTAGGAGAACATAAAATGTCCAGTTCTGGTTGGAGTAATAATGGTGCATTCAGAAGTGTTCTCCCTGAGGAAGAATCATTTTAGCTGAGGCTAAAGATGAACAAAAGAGCCGGGACAGTACATTCCCAGAGAGGGAGTAACAAAGGTCCTGAATTGGGAAAACGTGGGATTTTTGTTTTTAAATCTAATAAAGGATAGCTTTTATTCAATGTCTGAACTATTAGCAAGGTGGTCATAGCTGTAGTATCTGTAGTGGAGAAAACAGGAGCTATCTTAAATGTCCATTACTAGGGAAATGGTTAAATAAATGGATACATTTATCCCAAGGAGTACCAAAGTGTGGTAGATCTGGTTACATGGGCACGAAAGGGTTCATAATCTGTTGTGGGGGATCAAGATGCAGAACTGTTGTTCTGTGTGAAGTGTGATTCTGTTTGTGTTTAAGTAAACAGAAAAGCCAGCTGTATGTGCATGTGTGTGTATATATAGGTTGAGTATCCCTAATATGTAATCCAAAAATCTGAAATTTGAAATGCTTCAAAATTCAAAACTTTTTTTTTTTTTTTTTTTTTAAAGATGACCAGTAAGGGGATCTTAACCCTTGACTTGGTGTTATCAGCACCATGCTCTCCCAAGTGAGCTAACCGGCCATCCCTATATAGGGATCCGAACCCATGACCGTGGTGTTATCAGCACCACACTCTCCCAAATGAGCCACAGGCCGGCCCAAAAATTCAAAACTTTTTGAGCACCGACATGACACTCAAAGGAAATGCTCATTGGAGCATTTTGGATTTTGGTTTTTCAGATTAGAGATGCTCAACTTGTATGTATTCTGCAAATACTCCAAAATTCAAAAACATCCAAAATTCAAAACACTTCTTCTGGTTCCAAGCATTTTGGATAAGGGATACTCAACCTGTGTATGTTTGGATGTTCATAGTTTATATTTTGAAGGTTTTATCAAACTTTAAAAGTAGTTTCCTCCTGGTGGAAGTAGTGGAAGGCTTTTTTTTATTGTATTCTTTGAAGTTTTTTAATGCTTTTTTTTTTTTTACTTCTGTCAAAATAAATAAATGCAGCTCTTCCTGGTCTTGAGTCCTTATCTTTACTTGGGACAGGTACATATTTAAGTAGGACTAAAACTAAAATTGGAGACCTTCACCCTCATTATACTGTCATTGTCCATTGGACCCAATTTTTATTATTGAGCTACTTTTTCATGCTCTTTAAGGAATGATATTGCATGTCTTTTATTCTTTTTTAGAGGTCTTACAAAAACTAAGAGAAAACAGACATTTTTTTTTTGGCGGCTGGCTGGTTCAGGGATCCGAACTTGTGACCTTGGGGTTATAAGGCTGTGCCAGACTTATTTTTTAAAATAGAATAAAACTCCTCTGTCTTACAGTTATCAT